ATACTGTACTGTACTAAACCTGCCCGTGGATTATTGATTGATGTAGTTCCGGTGCTTGTAGTGACTTTGAATCCTGCCTATGTACAGAGGGAGAGAGAGCAAAGGTGCCCGCAGTTTTACAGAGAGAGAGAAAAGGTGCCCGCAGTTTTCTGATTGGCCGATTTGTTTGAAAGGAAATCTCCTGTGTGCAGAAAATTCCGTGATCGACCGATGACGTCAGCCACGGTCATGGCGTCACCTCTTGAAAAAGTTAAAAAAAAAATCAAATTCGCCGTGGACGACTGATTGGACTGATGATGACTTTGAATGAATTTACTATATCACCTGGGACGGGAACAATGCTCCGTCTTCTCGAGGACGCGTGGTCAATTGTCTAAACGCTAAGGCATGCCAAACATGAGAGTACGCCCCCCCCCCCCCCCCCCCCCCCCCCCCCCCCCCCCCCCCCCCCCCCCCCCCCCCCCCCCCCCCCCCNGCTTTGGGAGGGGGTTATTACGTAGAGGGTGTCTCCCTACCCAGATATTAAATGTGAGGTGACCCTCCTGACCGATAGGCATTACCATTAGACTACGGAGTCAGCTGACTTCCAGTGCATCAACTCGGGACATGATGATGATGCACAAATGCCACACTCTAGCTACCGCTCTTTTGCGTTCGCGATGCCCGTCGTCGGTGTTTGAGTGGCCAACCGCATCATCAGGGGTCCTACCCACTCACGAAAAGGAACGTCAGCGCACGCTGCACTCCTCGTCAAAGTCAACGAGGTTCACGTTAACAGGCACAGGCGCACTCTTCCCCCACTGGTCTAAATAAACACCGTACTCTGCGGCCAGCTCTTGGGCAGACGCCTGCTGCGAAATCTTCAACAGCCCTCGCTCACACATCTCTCTCGTAAAAATTGCACGCGGATTACCACACCCCAACTCTCCAAGGTTGTGCACGGGGACCATCTCATTGAGATTCCTGCCAAGCTTTTCACAACTACCTCTCCCTCTGCCCTACTACAGGCAAGAATGCCATCCACGTGGACCACGACAATCATTCTCGCATGTCCTTGCTCCATCGATCACAGAACACCCGCATCCGCCGGAGGCTGCAGAAACAATTAAACGCCAACAAACACCTCGTCAGGTGCACATACATGCCATTGTCGTGAGGCCTGCTTCAAACCGTTCAGACTTTTGCACAGCTTTACGATCAGACCAGCTATACTGCCACAGCCCTGCGGTAGGCGCAAGAAAACTCCCTCCTCCTCGTCATTCTCAGACGGCACAAATGCCTGCTGAATGTGGAAATGGCACAAGTCAAGGTTCTGCTCACATGCCAAAGCCGCCAACGAACACCGGTTTCACAGACGGTGGGTGCAGAAAATGCTCCAAGACCAATCGAGACCCTCTGCATGTCTACACGCGCTACATACAAGTCTTGCCTTGAATAATTTCGTCGGCGATCCGTTCTCGTCTGCCTTACAGACAGACAGGTGAAGGCCCCCTTGGCATTGATTGAAAAAGGTTGTTGAGAAGCACGATGACCACTAGATAGACCACTAGTCAGCGCTGACTAGTGGTGTAGTAGTGGTCATCGTGCCTCTCAACAAAAGTTAATGCCCGAGTCCGTCAAGCTTTCTTTCAAGCCACGAACAAAGTTCTCTACTGGTTCCTTCTACTGGTTGCTACGCTGGCTCAACTTTTGTCTGCATCCAACAAATAAAAAGAACACTCGCGGCCAACGGCATCCTTATCTTCCCACAACTCTGAGCGCTGGGACGGCATGGTCTTCTTTCGCGGTACGCGGAGGTCGCTGGCGAGGCAGTGGGGTAGGTCTGGAGTCTTGTCAGGCGGGGGCTCGGCGTGAAGATCGGCGTCAACGCCCTCGCGGGCGACGAACATCGTTTCGAACACATGCGGCCCCCCGCCCCCCTGGCTGCCCCCGCCCCCCCCCCGGCTCCCACAGACCGCCCGCTCCCGCGGCATCCAAAACTCTGATACGGCGGCGGCCGCGGCGGCGGGTCGAGGCGTCCTTGATCGACGGCCTCACGGGGAGTGACGAGCGACGAGAGGAGCCCGTCCGTGTCCATCATCGACAGCAGCAGTCCAAGGCGGTATTGTCGTGGAGGGAGCGGGATCCGCCTCAGGACGGCGACCGAGGCGGTTGTGTTCCAGCTCCGTGAGCCGCGCCCCGTCGCGGCGCGTGCGGCCATGAACCCTCGTCTCCGCTCCCGTCCCAACTCCTTTGACGGCTCGTTCTTTGAATGCGGCGGGTGCGGATGACATCTGGAGCGGTGCGGACGGGCTGCAGCGGTGGCGGCGGCGGCATCGGCGGTCGGACGGCTCGGCGTGGCCGCGGTCGGCGGGCGGTAATGACGACGGCACCACGCGGATCGGCAATGGAGATGCGGATCCTGAAAAGCGGGCGAGCGGCGGCGCTGCGGTTGTCGATGTTGAGGGCGGGGTGAAGAGGAATGTCCGCGGTGGGAGTGGCGGTGCGGCAGCGGCCTCAGGTAGGTACGGCCGCGGCCGGCGAGGGTTCGGCGGTGACCGAAGAAACGCCCCCCGACCGCCAGCACCGTCGCCGGCTCGCTCGCCCGCCCTACGGTTGACCCACACGACGTTTGCTGGCGATGGTGAGCCTCCCCGTGTCGGCAACGGCGGTCGATGTGTAGTGGTTGTTTGCGCCATGTAGGCAGAAGGTAGAAGGGTGTTGGCGCTTAGCGGGTTGACCCGATTTTGCCGTTTCGTACAATTGTATCTATCTCCGGGCCCGATCTGCAGTTGGCACTGCTTTTTTCGTCTCCGCCCCTGCTCTCCCCTCTCTTTGTTTGTTTAGTGCTCGCGGATCGGACTATTTTCTACGGTGCTACTGCCTTTCTTCATTGTCCAGATTTTGAGCACGCGGGAAACCAAGCACAAACACCACCATCGTCCGTTGTAGGGAACCCCCATTTGTGTACGGCTGAGACGTGACGTGTAGATAAAAAAAAAACACGTCCGGAAGAAAGAGAGAAGAGAGACCGTTATACTACTGCTGTACTTGTTGTCGTGAAATGCACATCATATAGTGTACGCATCTCATGCACGGCTGTGTTGTCTTTGCCTGGGCGCTTGTTCATCATTATCTCCAACCTGAAAACCTTTGTTTCTAGCTGGTAAGTGTTGTTCCAACATGAGACACATGCATGCATGACGGCCTCAAGTCCAGCTTTTGGCACTGCCTTGATGATCTCTTGTTGCACCACAATGGGTGGCGTGTTTCCCGGTTTTACATAGACTAGATAGAAAGAAGGCGAAGTCAAACCGTTATACTACAGTCTTAGAGAGAGTCAGCCAGCCGAAATCAACAGCAGTTTTGATTCTCAATATCGCTATTTTATGATTGAGTCTCCCGGCTCTAAATTGCCGCTGAAGAGGTCTAGCGGCGATGCCTTGAATAGCGGCACCATGAATTCGTGACACCAGAATGGACGTTAGGGGTAGGTTAGGGTTGGGACTACAGAACATCAGTGAGTGTTGTGTGTGCGTGTGAGTGGTGTATCAGTTGGTTGGCTCATCAATTGTCTGGAATACGCAAGACTAGACTATGATGCATGCATAATATATATGTACGTTGACATCAGTGAGCCAGTCGTGTCACGCGTGCATCCACATGATGTATGTTGTGCATATGTATGTGTGTCACTGCAGTCTACGCTGTTTACCGAGTATTTCGATACATTTTGCACTTACTTGAAGAGCAAGGGATCGGGAAGGAGGCTGCACCATTTGGATTATTAGTGGATTATTATTGGTTGTGACTAAGGGTTCGATCGCTTAAGAATTTATATGCAGTCTAGTCTAGACTATCTGCGTACAAAAAGTACAAGGACATCGAAGGCTCTTGTGCCAAGCATAAGAAGAGATCGCATGTCAATCGTGAAGAGTCATCTCTACTACTACTGCTGTGTAGAAGACGAGTGGAGCTTCCATCAAACAAAACGTCCTCTGATCGATCACTCCCTCTCATCGCGCACGGGCGTGGAACGCTTTCGGGAGAAGAAGCTATCATATTCAAGGTAAGCCATACTTGCCCCTCCTGCGACAATCGGGTTCGCCGTAAAACCACCTTCATCCGCGGCCCCGCCCACGCCCTTTGTTACAGATAAATGGGCGCGCACGTCGTGTATGGACGTTGTCGATCATGCGGTAGACTAGATAGACTAGTTCTCTACATTAAATAGTAGTCTAGGCCTTGAAAGCGCGCTTGACCGTTGATGTAGAGTAGCGGCGGGTATTATCAACCACCAAAGCCACCTCCCGCGCCAACAGCTCGTTCTTCGACAGTAAAACCAACTTCGTAGATAGGTATCGAACGATTGCTAAGATCACCACCTATCTGTCCAAAAAGAAAAAAACGTCGTTAGTGACGAGGCACAGCTGTTTCCATTTGCCCAAGTTGAAGTTGGAGTCTTGAGAGGGTGAAACGGCCCGGGGGGTATTAACAACCATTTTGACGATTGGTTGATTGCGGGGGGTTGAAACCGTATCAAGACCCAAGATTTGGCACAAATGCGCCCAACATAGTGGTCGTAAAGAAAAATCTTTTTTTTTTTTCGGTGCCACCAGGGGGGGGGGGNCTTGTGCTTACTTCCTTGCGAACGGATGACAGCTGCGTATGAATTAATTTATTTTCTGGTGCTTTCACTTCCAGAGACAGTTGTAAGCACTGTGTAACTGCCTCGAGGGTGCCTGACCATTTTAACACAACGTGGTGCGATCATCCCCCTTGCGCGGAGCGGGTTCTTCACCCCGCACAACATGATCTACTCGACCACCATTATGGTTAGCACCCAGGGGATGATAATTGGATATATCCCCGGGTTGTTGACGCAGATGTGGGGGGCGGGATTTGCCTCCGTTTGCCCGTGCGGCGTGATATGTGCATCGAAAACGAATAAAAATAACCGGTTTGGGGCATAAACGGGTTGCTCCTGTCAATAGCCGACCATGAAAAAAAAAATCACACCGAAAGGAGTTGTTACGGTCAAAAAATAGATTTTCAAAAATGGGTATATTTTTGGTATTTTGCGTGCCGCTACGGCAAGAATCAGCCCCGTGCACCACTAACCCTGGATAGTCTATTCTGGACTGTTCATACATCCCTACGACATAAAATTTGGAGGGAGCATTCAGACATGAATGAGAACCATTTATCGCAAAAAAAAAACCCGAAGGTCACCCGGGGACAGGATCACGACATCCCCGATTTTCGGTCAAACGCCCCCCGCCGCCCCATTGGCATGCTATAACGCCACCGTTGCCTACACTACTATCAACGTGCAACAGGGTACGTATCGACTCCACGTAAAAACTGACGACTTTTGTAGCTTGTTTTTTCCTACTCTGAGTGTGGTAGAAAACAAACCAAGGAGAGCCTCATAGGCGGCTGCACGTCAACAACGGGTGTCGGCGTCCGCTGCCGTCCAACCCGGGACAAGGAGGTTGCCGGCTGGCGAACGGGCAAAGCCACCCCGTGTGCTGCAGCCGCTCCTTGTCCACGGCCAGGTGAGGCCCCTCTTCCAGCCCCTGTTCGGCCGCGTCCCTCCTCCGCCGCACCCCGCCCCCTCCCTTGCCCGGTAGCCTCACGTCCCTCCCCCATCCCGCGCCCCCATGATGTTGCCTCCGTCGGGAAGGCCCAAAGAGCCCCGCGAGGTCGCCAGTTTCTTGGCACGCTTCCTTTAAGTCAGGAGACCGCCGAGCATCACCGTGCCTACCTTGAGTCCGGTAATGGCATGCCCTCCCGCCTTCAACTGCCTCAGGCCCCTCTCTCCGATGGCCTCGTCCAGCTGCTCGTGGGTCATGGCGATGGGGACATCCTCTAGGGGTGGGCGCCCGGTCGGCCCCTCTTTCCTCTTCGCCTTGCCCTGAAGCCGGGTCAGCGCTCGATCCATGTCCACCGGCCACAGCCCCGCCCCGGCGAAGGATGCTTTGTTCCGCTCCGGTGTAAAGCTCCTTTGCCAAGCCGCCGCCATCACGCCGGGCACGTCATGCTTCAGCGATAACAACCCGCGTGGTAGTAGTCTTGCAGCACTTTAGTCACCTCCTTCTTGAAGGTTCCGAAAGCGACGACGTCCAACAGCTGGGTGATGCGCAACGTGTGGGAGGGCAGCTGGAAGTGGATGATGTTGACTTCCATGGCCAATTTGATGACCTCGCAGCTCACGTGTGAGGCATGCCCATCAAGCACGAGGATGTGCGGCTTTCCGTCGAGCACGCCTCGGTCGTCAAGCTGCTTGTGGAAGTCCTTGAGGAACTTGATGAACACGTCGCCCTGCATGAACGAAGTGTCCGTGCACGTGTACCTCGCATCCTTCGGGCCGTTCCTCTCGGCGAACCAGTCAGGCTGGAGTCGCTGTCCTTTGAAGATAGTGGTTCGCGCCCACGTGGCANCATCACGCCGGGCACGTCATGCTTCAGCGATAACAACCCGCGTGGTAGTAGTCTTGCAGCACTTTAGTCACCTCCTTCTTGAAGGTTCCGAAAGCGACGACGTCCAACAGCTGGGTGATGCGCAACGTGTGGGAGGGCAGCTGGAAGTGGATGATGTTGACTTCCATGGCCAATTTGATGACCTCGCAGCTCACGTGTGAGGCATGCCCATCAAGCACGAGGATGTGCGGCTTTCCGTCGAGCACGCCTCGGTCGTCAAGCTGCTTGTGGAAGTCCTTGAGGAACTTGATGAACACGTCGCCCTGCATGAACGAAGTGTCCGTGCACGTGTACCTCGCATCCTTCGGGCCGTTCCTCTCGGCGAACCAGTCAGGCTGGAGTCGCTGTCCTTTGAAGATAGTGGTTCGCGCCCACGTGGCACCATTGGCGCTGATGGTGACCACGGTGGTGTTCTCTCGCGAGTTGGACCGCATCGACTCAACCACCTTCTGCCCTGCCTCCGCGAAGGCCTTCATCGTCTTCGTGCCTTGCGGTGTGGTACCTAATTACACCCGCGAGAGAGGGAGCCAAATCGCGTAGGTGGAGGTCAAGGGGGGTGACCAGCTACGGCAGATATAAAATACAAGGGTGTATACACACAAACACAATGCAATGGATTGTCTACCGCGCTCCTAGCAGGATACACCGCGCTTCATCGAAATGGCAGGGCGGTCATTTATTTTTCGTGAAGCAAGCTGCCACCTAGTTTGTCTACTTTCGTCGTCGGTAGTTGGACTGGACTAGCAGCAGGAAGAGCAACAGCAAGGTGTGCCTATTCTATGCTCGGTACTCGTCCTAGACTCGTCTGCTGTACATCATTTACACACATGCACGCTGTCCTGCTGTACCCGCAAGCTACACTTTCTGCAGGGTAGACTTGCGGAACAATCGGCCAAAAAGACCATGCGACACAGCCCTTTTTCTATGNATTTCTCTATGGTATATTTGTGTAGTTAGGCCCATGGTTATGGTCACCAAATCTTTGAACAAAACTTCAAATGTTTCCAAACATTTGCGTGCGAATATTTGTCAGAGGAAGAATTTGAGTACCGCTGTTATGGGGACGAGAAAAATATCTTCAGCGGGACTGTGAGTTTCGGAGGCGTTTTGGTTCGTTTTCAAAAAGTTCGCAGCACGGAGCCCCTTTCTCTCACGAGCAGGAGGGCACGTGGATTGCAATCCCCCGCACCTATGCCACCCCCCCCCCCCCCCCCCCCCCCCCCCCCCCCCCCCCCCCCCCCCCCCTCCCCCCC